CAAACAAACAAACAAACAAAAATCCAAAAAACTGCTTTGGTGGAAGGGTGTCCTAAGTGAGGAGGGTGTATAAACCTGTTCTATCGTTATAAAGGATGTAAAAGGATGAGAAAGAGGTTTATGAACTATTACGTGGAAAAAAGATTACAGAACAATATATATGTTCTGTTTATTATATTAAAATCATATCATTAATCAATATCATTATATCAATAATCATTATTTATCATTAAAAATACATGTGTAAAAATATACCCCCCATATGTGCATACATGTATATGTCTACATAGCAAAAAAAAAAAAAAAAAAAAAAAAAAGGAAAAAAATGTTTTTCCAAATTGAAAAATTTTTTTGGCATTTTTTTTTTTTTTAATAACTGATAAAATGACAAAAATCCCAAAGGAAAATACACTGAGGTAATGACAGGCAACTCATGAAAAAAAATCAAGTAACCAATAGGGAAAAATATACAACCATGCACCATTAGTCAATGATAGGCAAATGCCATTTTCACCTAAAGAATAAGCAAGTTGGAAAAGAAAATACAAGTTTGCTAGGAAGAATGAAATCATCATCATGTACAATGCTGGTGAGAGTGCAGACTGACACAAGTTTTGGGGAGGGCAATTTGGCAACTGCCTTAAAATTTTGAGCAGTCTTTGATATATCACCATACTTCTGAGAAGCATTCTGAAGACACAATGGTTGCATCGTTTGTTATGACAGTGAAGAACTGGAAAAAATCTAAATGCTCAACACAGGACTGGTTAAGGTCATCTGATCCAATAGATTGCAGGCATTAAAAATTATACTAGAGAACAGTGTTTTTCAAAACTTTTAGTTGTGGCATACATTCTTGAAATAAAATCTAGAAATGCTATGTTGGAAAGCAGATACATGTAAAACTGCTTTGGTGGGCAGGGCGTGGTGGCTCACTCCTGTAATCCCAGCACTTTGGGAGGCCAGGGTGGGCGGATCATGAGGTCAGGAGATTGAGACCATTCTGGTTAACATGGTGAAACCCCACCTCTACTAAAAATACAAAAAATCAGCTGGGCGTGGTGGCACACACCTGTAGTCCCAGCTACTCGGGAGGCTGAGGCAGAATCGCTTGAACCTGGAAGGCGGAGGTTGCAGTGAGCCGAGATCACACCACTGCACTCCAGCCTGGGTGACAGTGCAAGACTCTGTCTCAAAAAACAAAACAAAATCAAACAGAAGTGGATAAGGTTTTTAAAAAATCCCTTTGAGACTGAGACTCCATGGATACTGAGTCTGGTTCCTCTTAGGGTCTGGGCATAAATGCCAGTATCAATTAACACGGAAAACTTATCTTTCAAAGAAAGGCTACCTTGTGTATTAAAATAGCACAGAAAAAGCCACCTGGGTCTGGTTTTTCTAAATATCTGCAGTGGCCAAAGTGACTGGTCAGTCGGTTTTGGAAGGCCACAGAATGAGTTATGTTGCTTTCAGTTAGCATCTCAAACCACTGATTTTGTTTCCCCAAGTATCCACCCCTTGTCTTTGCTCTCCTAACTGCACAGGGTTTTCAAGAAATCTGAGTGGAAGCAGGGAATGGTAAACTGGGTGACAGATATTCTCATCTGACATAGTAATAAGTGCTGAAACATCTAAGCTGAATTTGTCGCTACTTGGTTAATGGTGCCAGTATTTTCACAGGAGTGTTACCTCTTAAATTTCTTGTATTTCTCTCTTCTCCATATTGGTTGCAGATGATTAAACTTCTACTTGTAATAATTTCCTTCTACTTGTTTGTCCAAATTCAAGCAAGTTTTCTTAGGCTGTTACATTCAGATCTGAGTTTAAATGGCACTCCTCAGAGAGGCTTTTCTAGATCACCTATTTAAGAGGCTACTCAGTCATTTCTTTTTCTTTCGTTCTTTTTTTTTTTTTTTGAGTTGTAGTCTCTCTCTGTTGCTCAGGCTGGAGTGCAATGGTACAATCTCGACTCACTGCAATCTCCTCCTCCTCCCCGGTTCAAGTGATTCTTCCACCTCAGCCTCCTGAGTGGCTTGGATTACAGGCGTTCACCACCATGCCTGGCTAATTTTTTTTTTTTTGGTATTTTTAGTAGAGACGGGGTTTTGCCATGTTGGTCAGGCTGGTCTCGAACTCCTGGCCTCAGGTGATCCGCCTGCCTCGGCCTCCTAAAGTGCTGGGATTATAGGCGTGAGCCATGGTGCCCGGCCTACTCAGTCATTTCTTGTCATATAACCCTATTACAATGTTTTGCATAGCACTTATCATTACTTGACGTTTTCTTGTTATTTGTATATATATTTAATCTCTGTCTTCTTCTACCAGAATGTAAGCTCCCAAAGACCACAGACCTTGTCTGTTTTGTTCTTCAGCTCCCGAAATAGGGCTTAGGGCACAGTAGATACTCAGTAAATGTTTGTTGAATGAATACATGTTTGAATGGTGAATGGTTAATGGTAAGTGAGGACAAATCCTAACAACAGTTTACCTTTCTTTGTTTCATTTTCCTCTGGCTCTGGGTCTGTCTGGTCATTGTTCTGTTGGCTGTTGTTGCTGATGGCTGTCTGATTATTCTCTGGCTCAGGAGGACTATGGCTAGTCCCTTCTTCAGTGCTATCAGCGGCTTCTTCCTCTTTTTTGTCATTCATCTCTTCTTCTTCCGAAGGGGCCAAGAAATGAAGCTTCAGGCCTGTGAAGTTGGAGAGCAGCAAGAATAGTGCCTCAGAGCGAAATAACTTCATGCACTCCTTCAATATCTCAGGAAGCTTACTCTCCTCAGCTTTCTCATAAAACCTGAAAAACAGCAATGTCAAGTTGTTCAGCAGAGCCACAGATGTAAAATGACTCATGGGATAAAAGCTGATCATTAGCTTTGTACCTCTCTTCCTAAATCTTGGCACAGCTTACTAAAGCACAAGTTATTACAATAGTGAGATTTTCTTAGGATTTGGTTAGGACATCCTGCTACTGGATGTCCCTGAGAACAAAACATCATTAGGGCAAGTGTCCTATTATTGGGTGTGAGCTTTGATGCATGATTGTATATTTTTTCCTGTTGGTTATTTGACTTTCTTTCATGAATTGCCTGTCATCACCTCAGTGTATTTTTCCTTTAGGCTTTTTGTCATTTTACTAGTTATAAAAAAAAGTTACAGGTGCTGAATGTAGAAGCAAATATCTCAGATGACGGGTTCTACCTTTTGTTAGGGGGACCTCGGCTACTCCATTCCACATCTCCATGCTCCAAGGCCTCACAGACTTTTGCGAATTTCTCAGGCTAGAAAATGAGCAGATAAAGCAGCAGTCAGCAGATCTCCCTATTACCCCACACTGGTTTGGCAGGTACAGCAGCTCTGCCAAACACCAATCTGGCTAATTCCTAAAAGGCGCAGTTGATTGTCATTCCTTTCTTTTCTTTTCTTTTTTTTTTTTTTGAGACAGAGTTTCGCTCTTGTTGCCCAGGCTGGAGGGCAATGGCGTGATCTCGGCCCACCACAACCTCCACCTCCTGGGTTCACCCGATTCTCCTGCCTCAGCCTCTCAAGTAGCTGGATTTATAGGCATGCACCACCACGCCTGGCTAATTTTATATTTTTAGTAGAGATGGGGTTTCTCCATGTTGGTCAGGCTGGTCTCGAACTCCCGACCCTCAGGTGATCCATCTGCCTTTGGATTCCCAAAGAGTTGGCCAGAGCCACTGCGCCTGGCCGACTCTCACTCCTTTCATACAAGATCCCCTACTCCTGCTGTGGTAAAGCCAGGGTGAAGACTGGATACATCATCGGCTTGCTTTAGTCAAGAGATCTGAGTGCCACTGTGGCTCATTCTCTTAAGTAGTTATATACCTTACGTCAATCTGCTCAACCTCCCAAACTGCTGCGTTTATAAAATGAGGATCATAATACAGACCATAATACAATTCACAAGATGTTGTGAGGATAAAAAAGTTAAACTGCGTTACAATCAAGGTCATTACCATGACAATCTCTGTATAACAATTCAGATTCTCTAAGCCCCTAATTTAATAACCATTTTAAATTCAAAAAGTTAAGTACGACACAGGGAAGCTGGTTAATCTATTAAAATATTCTCCACAAGAGGCTTTCCATTTATTTGTTTAATGCAGTTTCCCAAGCAGTCCTATCCGTTATAAATTTGTGAAAAAGGAAAGATCCCATAGCATGGTTTAGGTAAACTCAATTGAATAGGGTATTCAGTTTATTTACTATAATACTTCTCAAAATCTTAATATGCTAATGTCAGCTATAAAATTCCTAGAGAGAGACAGGATGTAGAGTCTGTCAACCTTTTTTCTTGGAGGAATAGCTCTTGGGACCATGGTTCCATGGGACCCACAGTCAACTGTAAAGTGCCATGCCAGCAAAAGTTATCTTATTGGCCTTCACAACAACTCTGTGAGAAAGACAAGGCAGGTATGAATCCCAGTTTAACTGAAGACAAAATAAATACCCAGAGTGATTTAGTGATCTGTCCAGGTTAGTAAAACCAGAGCCAGGGCATGAGAATAGGTCTTCTGATTTCTTTTCTTTTTTTTTCTTTTGAGACGGAGTCTTGCTCCATCACCCAGGCTGGAGTGCAATGGCACAATCTCAGCTCACTGCAACCTCTGCCTCCTAGGTTCAAGTGATTCTTCTGTCTCAGCGTTCTGAGTAGCTGGGATTACAGGTACATGCCACCATGCCCGGCTAATTTTTTTTTTTTTTTTTTTTTTTTTTTTTAGTAGAGATGGGGTATCACAATGTTGGCCAGGCTGGTCTTGAACTCCTGACCTCAGATGATCTGCCCACCTCGGGTTTACAGCGTGAGTCACTGCGCCCAGCCAGTCTTCTGATTTCTAATCTCTTTCTACTATAACAAGCTGCCTCATCACTGTCAAACGTTCATCAACAGATATTGCTCTATTAGTAATCTAGTTTTAAAAGTAATAAGAAGCACCATATTAGATGAATAGAAAGGTAACTACACACAACTCCTTTTCAGGGTGGAAGCTTGTGTGTGTGTGTGTGTGTGTTTAAGACTCTAGAGAACTGAGGAATACCCAAGGGATTCTTAACCCACTAAGCACACCGCTGATACTGTTAGTGTTATCATCATTTCTGTATTTCATTTGAAGAAGGGAATGACATAAACATTCTAATCAGGAACAAAACAAAAACTCCCCAGTGATGCCTATGCACCCATTCAGGAAGCAAAACTGCATGCCAAACAAAATATTCAGAACAACATACGCTAAGCCTACCTACCTTAAGAAACTCCTTCAGGAGAATTTCAGAACTTTCTTCAAACTCTTCTTGAATTTGAACTTGGTAATCCATGTCCAGGTAAGTAGGGTTGATCCAATCATACAAAATCTCATGCTTATGAAGAGGCAGCAGATGCAAAATGTGAGTTAATAATTCCTATTGCTTTTGCTCTTACATCATTTCACACTAATAAAATACATGCAAATCCTCACTTCATAAGTTTCTCCTATTAAAGTACCGGAAAACTCTGCTTGAGAAAGACACTATCAGGCCGGGCGCGGTGGCTCAAGCCTGGAATCCCAGCACTTTGGGAGGCCGAGACGGGCGGATCATGAGGTCAGGAGATTGAGACCATCCCGGCTAACACGGTGAAACCCCGTCTCTACT